AGTTTTACCCGTCTCCTTCAGTTTCCGATCGTTTTTGCACCATTTCCTCTGGTTGTTATCGCATTTTCCTGCACTTTCACTGTATTTTTCCAGCATGTTTACTGCATCGTCGTTTGTTCCTAGCAGTCGCTCCGGTTTCCTCCATGTTCCAACAGATTTTGCACCCTTTATTCTGGTTGTTATCACATTTTCCTGCCAGGTTGTTATCACATTTTCCTTCACTGTATCTTTCCAGCATTTTCCAGTGGATTTTGCACGATTTCCTCTGATTGTTATCATGTTTTCCTGCAGTTTCTATATCCTCTTCGTGGGTGTTCAATCTATTCATGCAATTTTAATCTATTTTTCCAAGATTTTTACCCGTCTCCTTTTTGCACCATTTCCTCTGGTTTGCTGCATTTTCAATGTATTTTTCCAAGAGTTTTACCCGTCTCCTTGATTTTTCCGATCGTTTTTGCCCCATTTCCTCTGGTTGTTATCGCATTTTCCTGCACTTTCACTGTCTTTTTCCAACATGTTTACTGCATCGTCATAGTTTGTTCCTAGCAGTCACTCCGGTTTCCTCCATGTTCCAACAGATTTTGCATGGTTTTTTCCTAGCATTTTCCTCTGATCGTTATCATGTTTTCCTCAAGTTTCATTGTATTTTCCAATACATCCTCTTCGTGGGGTTTCAATATGTTTTGTCCCGCATTTTTTTACTACATGTTTCCTATCATTTTCACCTCTTTCCTCCATAGGTTTTTGCACCATTTCCTCTGGTTTCCTGCATTTTCATACCTTTTCAATATTAATATTAATCCAAGAGTTTTACCTGTCTCCTTCATTTTCCGATCCTTTTTCCACCATTTCCTCTCGTTGTTATCACATTTTCCTGCACTTTCACTGTATTTTTCCAGCATGTTTACTGCATCGTCATGGTTTGCGCCTAGCATTCGCTCCGGTTTCCTCCATTTTCCAAGGGATTTTCCATGGTTTGTTCCTAGCATTCGCTCCGTTTTCGTCCGTTTTCCAGGGGATTTTGTACGATTTCCTCTGATCGTTATCATGTTTTCCTGCAGTTTCATTGTATTTTCCAATACATCCTCATGGTCTCTCCGGCCACCAAAAAGGCGGACCTAGGGGGAATCGATACCCCACCGTCAGCAAATTGCCTAGTGGTACATAATCCAGCAAAATGCTCCGTTTTCTCGCGCTCAACACAGGGGCACGGCGAGATTTCGTTCCCTTTCGGCAACCACCCCCCCCCACACCCCCTATTCTCACTTCGTTCGCAAACAGCAACTAGCCAGCTAGCTGGCTTTCGTAATATACATATATATATATACACGTATACATACTGCAGAGAAACAATGTAGACAACACCAGCAGTAGCAAATGAGCTGATTTGGGCCAGTGTTCAAGGCTGAAATACATCTTGCGTGCCTGTTGTTCCGACATCTGGGACCATTGTTAAGCTGCTAACGTGCAAGCCATCTTTAATCAGAGGAAAATCATATATATATATATACATATGTACGTATACATACATGTGTATATATATATGTACAGATGTACAAGTATACAGATATACAGATATACGCAAATAACACATCTAGAGATATATATACTCACATACACATACACACACATACACATACACGTACACATGTACACATGTACACATGTACACATGTACCCATGTACACATATACATATACATGTACACATGTACATATACATGTACATGTGCATGTACATGTACACATGTATACTTATGTACATGTATACATCAGTATACATGTATACACGTATACATATATACATATATACGTATGTACGTATGTATATACATTCATATATACATATATACATATATTATATATACATACATATGTACATATACATATATATATATATGTCATGCTTAACACAAACTCTGCAATGGCAGTCCTGATATTTCCCTCGGGCCTCGCGATCAATCTCCAGAAAGTTCGTCGCTAGATCAGAGAGACCAACCACCAGGGAAAACTGCCTGTCAGCGCCGTCACATAGCTATTGAAAATGGCCATAGAAATAGTAAGTGTTCCCATTAAAAATGGTAGTTTTCCATATAAATCACCATTTTCCCATGGTTTTCCCATGTTTTTCCCATTAAAAATGGTGATTTCCCATAGTTTTGAGGCCTGTAGGGATGCTTGCTTGCGACATGGCTGTGTTCCTGCGATGTGGAAAGATGTTAGAATTGCTTTGTTACCAAAAGCTACTGGTGGCATGCGCCCTTTAGCCATTGTCACTGTCCTGTGGCGTATTTGCATGAGTGCCACTCTGAAAAAATTACAGCCTTGGATTGCTGAATGGGCTTCGCCCGAACTTTTTGGTGGTCTACCAGGCAAGGGCATCATGGAAGTCCATGAGCGTTTCTACGAAGCTGTCAGCACGGCAAAGCAGTCTCGTGTCGATTTGGTCGGGTGCAAAGCTGATGTTCGCAAGTGTTTTGATTCAGTTTGCCCCCAGACAGCCATTAAAGTGTGGCGATGGTTCGGTGCTCCCTCATCAATTTGTGATTTACTCGCTGATTTTTACAGTGAACAGCGTCGTTGGTTTGCTTGGCAAGGTTCTTATCACCCTCATCCGGTTATTGCTCAACGGGGTTTGCTGCAAGGCTGTCCAGCCAGCCCTGCGCTACTGAACGCTTTGATGACAGTTTGGGTGAGGTTTGTCAAACGGCAGGAACCAAGGATTTCTTTGGCTATTTATTTGGACGATTGCACCATGTGGAAACAAGGTTGTCAAAGTTTTGAAGTGGTCATCAACGCCATGACTGCGGGAGCGCAAGCCGATGCTATTCTCGGCTTCGAACTTCACCCTGACAAATTGGCTAGCTTCGCCACCAAACCGCATCTGGTTGCCAAGGTGCGCAAGAAGAAAGATTTAGTAGGTGTACCTGCGGATACTTTCACACTGCTTGGCATTCAATACAATTTGTCACGCCCCAGTTCTTGTGTTGATGCGGATATTGTCAGTGACAACATTCAGCGACGGTGTCTCAAAATTCGTTTGGCAGCACAGCACTTAGGCACTCGCATTGCATTGGTGCATAAGTTGGTGATATCTTTATTTGCTTGGTCCGGTGCTTTTCATCACTTCAGTGCAAGAACCATTCGAACATGGACATCTATGATCGAAACTGCACTTTGGGGTCGAAGGGTTCCTCCAGGTAGGAGCCGGCTGCTCTTTTGGAATTCTTTGGGTTCTGCAAGACTACATCCGATGTTTGCGCTCCAGTTCACCGCCGCCCGGGCGGAATGGAATCGGCAATGCCGCCGTGCCCAAGGGTTGCCTGCAGCTACCTCGCCTGCTCCTCGCTGGAAAGCAGTGCTTAAAGATTGGAAATGGCGACTTGACGATGGCCTGTGGCACACGCCTGCTGGGATTTTGAAACCTGGGTGGATGTCTTTGAAAAGCTTGCAAAAAGCCGCTATCCATTCATGGCTCGTTGGTTTGTGGACTAAAGACACCAAAACGGATGGTCGATGGCCAAACGGCAAGGAGCCGGTTTTCCTTTTTCAGGCAAATGCAGCTTTAGGCATGGATTACTACAGTCGCAGGGTTTTGACTGGTGCTGCAGTGGATGGCAGGGTCACAGAGCGCTTTGGTTCTGCTTTGAGTTGTGAATGTGGATTGCGGTCTCCTGATCGAGAACATCTCACTTTTCACTGCCAAGCGCAGCCATGGGATGGTGAGTTCAGGAGCGCTACTGAACGTCGTTTGCTGGTTCCACTTGTGGATGCTCCTCCTGTGTTGCCTTTTTCCAACATGGTTGCAGATCCTGCTTTGGTTACTTTTATTCAGCAATTCGATCCTCTTCAGCGACCCACCTTGGGTTTGGACGGCAGTTGTATCATAGCTACTTCCTGTGATCGATGGCAAAGAGCTAGCTGGGCGGTTTCGACACTTTCAGGCACCACTGTTCAAGGTGCCGTGACTGGTTTTGAGCAAACACCTGCTGCAGGTGAGCGTGCTGCTCTTCTGCAAGCTTGTTTAGCCTCTTCTGCAGCTAACAGACCGGTGATGCTCTTGATTGACAATCAGGCTTTGGTGCGGCGGCTTCAGCGAGGCATTAGCACTGGCCGTTGGGAGGGTGACTTGCCGCTTTTCTGGCAGCGGATCAGCGGCTTATTGATTCAGGGCACTGTTTGCATTTGGATCCCTTCTCACAACAAGGTGCCTGACTGGACACCACCAGATGGTTGGATTGATGTTCATCTCTGCCGCGTTCTCAATGCGACAGCCGATGCTCAGGCAGGTGAGGTGTTGCGTGACTCACGCTCCATGATCGCTGCGGCTGTGCAGCGACATCAGCGAGCCGTGGCTTGGGCTGCAGCAGTTTGGCGTCTGCAGCGGCTACGGACTTTACCTTTTTGGCAAGTCGTACTTGATCAACAAACATTCCTTGCGGAATGCTAGCTGGCGCACTGTGTTTACTTCTTTTTTCAGGCAGGTTTCGCTTCTTTTGTGTTTTGCTTGGAGAAGTATGGGAACTTGATTCTCGCAGATGGCATACTATGGCGTCTTAACTACTTCACTTCGGTGAGGAGCAGGTTGACGTCCGCTTACAACAACAACAACAATGTTAACGTTTACCAGGTCGGGTAGATGGCACCAGGGACACACCGTGCCTGGGAATCACATCCACATGAAGGATGTCCACCTGATACGAAAAGGGAACTGGAGCTACCCTTGGTCGAAAGCTTTAAGAAATATGGCATCTTGATCCATCTGGTACAATTGAAAACACCGGATAGAACAGAAGATATAGGTATTTTCGATCAAGGGATTCCACTTGCATTCTATGTTCTGAAGTCTGCCTGGCACCTTGTGTCTACCATGCTGTGTCAAATATATTTTTTGTGATACTATTCACTATACATGTGCATGTGTACTGTACAGTATGTATATATACATTTACAAATACATGTTCATGTTCCAAAGTCCTTCAACATGTGCCAGGTGGAATTTTATGTGTCACCGACTGGCACCTTGCTACACCAGAGCTGCGAGAGCGAACCGCAGCGAATGCATAAGATGAGCTCCTCAGTTCGGACGTTGACCCAGCTGGTCTTGGTCACGCTACGGAGCGCCTGGGCATAGTATCCTGACGAGAAAAAATGGGCTGGTCAAAAACTGGATGATCTACAATGTGGAGCCCCCTAGTTATAAATTGGTTTATAAACCCCATTAACTATAGACATATCTACCATAAACCATAGTTATTGAAGTTATAAACGAACTTGGCTAACTATGGGGCACCACATTGTACCCTCTACCACTCTCTATGGACCTTCAGCTGGTGGCAGTCAACAACATCTGCAGAAGGCTCCTCCCTGAAGATGCACTGCAAAGGCAACAGCATCCGCTCCGGGCACCAACTCCGCCATTTGCCACAGGGCACTGTCGGGGTCAGAGGCAGAACCCCAGCTCCGGGGCAGGTCAATCGCGCGAGAAGCGCGTTCCTGAGCCAAGAAGCAACCTAGAACTACTTGCTATTTGAATATACTACTACGTACTACTAATATCTACTAATCCAATCCGAACCTCAAACTTAAACCAATCTAATTTCTAAGCTAATCCAATCCAAATATAATGGATCAACAAATCAATAAATCTCGCAGTCTCTATATCTTTCTATTTCTTCTGTCTCCTCTATGTTTATGTCTATAGTCTATATCTATCTATTTCCGTCTCTCTCAGTCCATCCGAATCCAATATGTACATTGATATATATACACATCATATATACATGTGTTTAAAGATAGTTATATACATATGTATATATATATATACATGTATACATATGTATATATACATATATAATATATATATATACATATATATATATATATGTATATTATATACATATTTGTTACTGTGAATGTGTGATGTATAAGATACAAGCTTGAATCTTCAGGAACCTCTTAAGTGAGCTTCCTCACCGTCTGCCTTTCGCACTTTAGACGACGACGACGGTTTTTCGGCGTTTGTGCGGCTGAGTTTCTCTGTCACCATTCATCCAATGAAAACCAGCAGGTAAGAAATTCAAGCCAGGAACCAGCTCCGCGGCGCGTGTAACAGCTCCGTCTGGGCCAAAGAGTTTTTGCAAACTGTAGCCTCGGGCACGTTCTGCTGCCACATCATCACCCGAATGGCGGTGAATGGCCACGATCCCATCACTTACCAATGGGATGTGCTCCAATGCTTTTGTCACATAACCATGCCTTCCAATGGGATCTCGTTCTCGTGCACGCTGCAAAGATTCATCATCCTCTCCAGCTTGGTGCACTGTTTGCATGATGGAATTGATCACTGGCACATACTCCAAAGAATGCACTAGGATGCCATCTCGTCCCAAGGGATCAGACTTTCTCGCCCTTTCCAAGGCTTCTTGGTTGCCTGCCAACTCATGTAAAAGCTGTATGCCACTGGAGACCAAGGGAATGTGCTCTCCAAATCTGGCCAGAGCCCCATCGGAACTCACCAAGGTATCCGTGTCTTCCCCAAAATTCTCGTACATTTCAGGCTCAAAGTGATCAAAACTCACCGAGTGGGGGAACAAACTCTCCAGGGCAAGCGTTTCTCTGCTTGCCGACATTCCGGGTTCAGGGCTCCATGGCTGCACCATGGTGGAGCTCCCTTTAGGCTATCGATGGGCTGAACTGGCTGAACTGGGGATCCCGGGGATGGGGACACAAAAGGCGACCTTTTTTTGCTGCTCACAAAGGCATCCGTTGTGCAAGTCGTGTCTCAACTCTTGAGCACCCAGGGCATCAAACAGGACAAGATGATGTCAAAATCAATGGATTGGATTTGGGGAAAATCTTAACCGGAAACCATGGTATTTTTACCATCAAATTGATCGGGGTGTCCGGTTAAAATTTTCCCATCATCCAATTCTGTGTCAAAAATCCGCAGGTGGCAAAAGTCTATGGACCCAATGGGAGGTTAGTGACCAAAATTCTCGGGTCTGAATGGATCTGGCATTTGGTTGTGTCTAAAAATGGGGCAAAATCCTTTTTTACGGCGGTTCTTCGTGAGGAAAAGATTGAATATCAACATATATATATATACATATATAAGTTTAATGATGATTTATGATGATTTTTCCCGAACTCTTTACTTTTTTGACCCGTCCGCCATGGCTCGCCATGGCGAGCCCTGCGGCGAGACCCATGCCAGGCGGACCAAGGGACCATCCGTGTCGGCGCCCCGATAGACCTATGCTGGGGATGGTGACTGAATGGCGAAATAACAAAGATATATATATATATATACACACAACATCTCGTATAATATACAATGATACTATTTTTTTGATGAACTTAATGCTGCTTAGGATATTGGTTCTTGTATCAAGCTCGTGGAGAGGGGTCAATATGGTGATTTCATGAGGATGCTTGTGGTGATGTACTAGCAAGGTACAATCCCACGATCATGTTGAATACCCTTCAATCCTAGGGATAGGTGAGTAGATCCAATACTAAACCATGATTTTGGGAATATTTCATAGTAGCGGGATAGGTTGTTTGGATGTGTCTCTACTGACTTGAAACCTTCTTAGCAGTGAAACTATATCATGAAGTATCAAATCATTGCGAATGAATGTTGAATACTGGTTGGTGGTATACCTACCCCTCTGAAAAATATGAGTTCGTCAGTTGGGATGATTCTTCCCTATATGGAAAAATAAAAAATGTTTCAAACTACCAATCAGAATATGTCTTAATATACCATTTTTTTGCCTTGGTGACAAACCACACCTGATCCTCATACCTTTTGGTGATATCTCACTGTCTCAGTTTGTCTGAAGATTGGTTACCCCATGTTACCTGTGCTTTGGCTGTAGCCATTTCAGACAGACCCATCATTTTAAAAAAAAGTTGGCGAGTTGTTCCCAATATCGCCAATATTCCTTTAAAAATTGCTGGTGATATCACCATTTCCCCATGTTTTTGTTTTTTTTTGCCCATCATTCAATCACTATGATCCATCATAAAATCCGCGAAAATATCGCCTCCTGGGCTTCGACGGTCTCATCTTCCTGTGGAGATTTCGTGTCAAAAATCCACCGGATGATGTGGTGAAAAATCAATCTGTTGATTAAAATGAAGTCATTAAGCTCAATGGCTATAAATGGGTGAATTCAGAATTATAGAAAAATTATATCAGAATGATTTTTTATGATTTTTTCTTCCTTGCCAACAATGGGGTGTCTACCCCAACATATGCATCTTTTAAGGGGGAAAGTCAGAAAGTCAGCTGTGGGATTTGAGGGAAGCCTATTTTCAGACAAACTCACACCGTCTTTGATGTAGGAAATCTTCGCTGTGACAAGACACTGGCTATTTGGGCTTGGAGGTAACTATCGTGGCCATGTGGCCGTCATCGTGCCTCATCTGCTGCTAGATAGCATTCAAAGCCACCAACCTGCTCAAGCAATGCAACCGGCATCGTTTAAGACTGCAAGGTAAAGGGAAACACTCAAAATATTTCAAAGCTGTGCTCAGTGCTCCTTCAAAATTTTCTGGCACTCAAATAATTCAAAGGTTCCTAAAGTGTTTCCAACCAGGTACCTCTTCACTGGCCCATGCTTCCATTGCAGCATTGCTTGCCTCGCCCTGGCAGCTTTCTGGACTTGGTGAGAAAACATTGCCATCTCCAATTTTCATATCACTGACCCCAGTCAAAGGGGTGCCTTCTTAACGCCTCCTCGAAGCAATGTTTTAAGTTGTATAATTTGTACATCTTTTTTGGGTCACCCCAGGTCACCCAGGTCGGGGAATCCCAACAATTCCAGGGCGATGGCTGCGACGCGTGCCTCACTTCCTCCCATCGCAAAGCACAGGATAGCATCCAGATCTGCCTGCGGCCAGCGAATGTGCGAGCTTCGAACCGTTTTTGTAGGTGTGCCCTATAACAGAATAGACAGGTAATAAAGCAACATCAGAATCTTCACAAATATTCAGAATGTATGATGAAGAAATATAACCGTGATTCTATAAATTGCCAAGATACACAAAGTAACTCAGTAGTAGGGATTGCCCTTTTGTAGCTTTTCCATCATTTTCGCCGACCCCTATCCTTTTCAGCTCCAGTTTTTTCCGTGCCTCATCAGTATCTTGAGCACCTCTGGCTGCCACTGTGTAGTCCAAGCCGGGGCGAAAGCGTCGAACCTGCGGCCTGCCATCATTCTTTGGATCCAGGCCTGTACAGGCCTCGGCAGACGGGCCTGCCAGACCCTTCCATAATTTGTTACCATCAAGTACCATCTGTTACACTCTGGTAAACTAACATAGCTATGGAAAATCACCATTTTATAGCTGGGTAAATCAACTATTTCTATGGGCCATTTCCAATAGCTACGTAACAAATTACCAGAGGGTACCCAATCCCATCAGCTGAACGGTGTGAAGCTAGGCCCCAGCTTTCAACCAGCGAAGGAAAGTCTCACCTGGGTGCAACAACTGCAGCGAAGGCGGTATCAAATCACCGGGGGGTCTGTGTCTAGGGGAGTAGCCCTAAATCCAGCAGTATATTTACCCTCTGGTTATGACTAACATAGCCATGGTATAGATGGCCCATAGAAATAGATGGTTTACCTATTAAAAATGGTGATTTTCCATATGGCTATGTTAAATAACCAGAGGGTAATCATGTTGTCCCCAAATGATCATAAATTTGGCAAACCCCTGGAGGTAAGTTGTGCACTGGCAAACAGCTCTCCAGCTACATCCGACAAGCCGCGGCCAAGCCTTGCGCAGCTCTGAAAAATCAACCGGAAACAAGCTATCAGCCCATCAGAATCATTCCCAAAACTTCACTGGTTGGTGGTTTCAACCATCTTGAAAAATATGAGTTCGTCAATGGGGTTGGGATGACATACCATATGTGAAATGGAAAAGAAAAATAAAAAATGATAAAAAAATGTTCCAGTCACCACCAAGCAGTTCAAGTTACTTCCCCCAAATCATCCCCAGCTGCTTTTGTCAAGAATTGCTTGGGAAATGGTCGAGAACTTCGCCTGCCATGAGGCGACTCCGCTTGGAAGCCGCTGCAGAAGCGCCTTGGGCATACGGAAAACTGCCAAGTCAAGAAATCCAGATATCAATGGGATCAATCTCAGTTCATATTGAGTTTGTAAATGTATATATATATTATATTATGTCTGTGCTTGTATAATAGTTTAAAACCTGGAATGCCCATCTACCCAGTTGCTGTCGTTGCGTCCCTCTGTCGTTCCGGTTCGTCATCTGGGTGAGTCTTAGCTGAGAGCAAGAATCGCCGAAGGTGAGGAGGACCCACCAATTCCTGAAGCATCTGCCGACCCAAAGAGGACCTCCCCATCTCGAACAGCTGATCCAACAAAGTCTTCAACAGGTGCCCATCTTAATGGGCAACAGGATTTTTGTCTTTTCAAAGAATTTGAGCATCAGCTGCAGATTTGCATCGTCTTGGAATTTGCCCACAAGACCATCATCATGTTAGACCATTGTTAGTTGTTAGACCATTATGGATTGTCATTGCTGTCATTGCTGTCATTCATCATTTTTCCATGTTTGAATGCCAAGGATCCGACCCAACCATCTTGGACACCGCTGGTATAGCAAGGCACTGGAAGCTCCTCTGCATCTGGTTGGAATCCTCGATCCAAAAAAAAGGAGTGAAGAAAAATATGGAAACCACATTCAAAGACTCGGAATCATGGAATTAAGATGGTTTAAGATGATTTAAGATGATTTAAGAGCATCTCATCAAAATCTCGGTCACCCTACCATCAGCTCTGTCAACTTCTTCGAGTTCCCGTGCTAGTCTTTGAGCAACGTCTTCTCGAAGAAACTGGTCGTGAAAAGATTCCAATGGTGTCATAAACAATGTATTGGTTTAAGTTTAAGGGAAAATCTACAGGAATCCATGGCTTGTCCCTTGGAATATGTATATACATATATATATATACAATTTGTATGAGCTTATATATATAGGAGGTTTCCTGCCAATTTTCTCTCAAACCATGCCGTCGACACAAAAAAAAAAATGAGACTGAAAAACATCAGACTCGACAGTCGTCCAGTCGCAACGACAGTCAGCCTCTGTGAGCACTGCATATGAGCGTTCCTCAAACTGCTTTCGAACTGCCTGAAAAGGAGGCTTTGATTTGCTTTCCTCTCAGAGAATGCTTGGATGAAGAGTGCAGGAATCAGATACCCTCTGGTAAACTAACATAACTATGGAAAATCACCATTTTCAATGGGTAAATCCACTATAAATGGCCAAATTCAATAGCTATGTAACAAATTACCAGAGGGTAATATCCATTACATCGTGATCGGATTTTCCCAGCGAGACTAGCTGATTGCACGGTACCTGGGCGCGTGAAACGGGAAACGAACTCTGTGAGTTGCTCTGGGGCGGCCCCCGAAGCTCCTTTGGAAACTCCCGGGCGTCGCCCCTCAGAGCAATCTGCAGCAACACCCAACAATGAAAGATATCAAACATGTCAACAAATGTCAACAAATGGCAACAAATGGCAACAAATGGCAACACAATGTCCCAATTTGTCAAAATCCACATGATCTTTTCCCTAAAACCATCCATGGATTTATTACTGTAGCCAGTTTCGATAACGTG